GGTGGAAAAACCATTGCGCCAGTAATACTGCACAGTGGTTTACAAAAATACCTTTGTCCTATGGCTACTCTCACATAAAAAGCACTCAAATAACGGAGAGAAGCCCTGCGAAGCGGACTGCGTCTATGCATATAGTATCGAAGGGACAGTGCTGTGCCGTGATGGCAGCTCCCTCGTCCTCATTTTCTGGTTGAGTGCTGGGCTTTGGGCTAATGCTAGTGCTGGCTGACATGCCCCCATTGATCAGTCCGTGCTGCGTCGATAGCACGCTGCCAACATCTGCAGTAGAACAAAACATAACAAAAGCAAAAGCAGTGTAAGTGGTCACTGAGTCCATTTTTTCCTTTATTGTTTGTACGCCCTGTAAGTGTATGTATGCACGGGGACGTTGATCAAGCAAACCACCGTGGCAGCATAGCAAGTGTGGTGTCGCGCTGCTATTGTTGAGGGGTGGAATAGATTGGCGACCACGGTTGCTGCACTTCGATGATGATGAAACATAAAAAAAACACCCGTGAACAAAGGTATATGTGCTAATTGGAGAACCCCAAGCGGTCACGGTCTTTACACGCACACTACAGCGTACCTTAAAATGATATCTTGTTTGGCACATGAAAGCCTAGCTATTATCGATGTTGAACAGACATGTTCACTTTAGGCTGACACAGGCAAGCGGAAAAACTTAAACTGTGTGTGAAACTGAAAACAACTGGTACTTCTCCAGCAAGGCATAAATTCTGATGTTACTTAGAGACGGCATCCAGAGAAAAAAAAAACCGCAACGCTACTCCAAAGAGCTAAGCTTCGTGTAGTCCGCTGCTTTGTTCGTAACAAGAACCCTGTATTTTGCGCAAATTGAGTTAAACAGACGCCTCCCTGCATCGAGTGTTCACCGCGAGAGTATCTTTTATAACACCTCAAAGGCGTAGGTGAACGTCGCCCCACACAAGGCTTGTGGACAAGGCAGCTCCCCTTTACACGCAACTGTTTACCAAAAAGAAAGACTACCTTCTTATATATTGCATCATTCACTTCACGCGGTGGCATGAGATGGAGTTTGGTGGTGGTGGTGAGATGGATGGACGGATGCATGAAAAATTTGCTAGCCGTGAACTGCACGAGTCAACGCTCAGCGGGTCACATAAAAAACAAGTTTGCATATGCCATAAGTTGCATAATACGCTCGTTTTCTTTCTGGCAAAATGCTGCTTAAACTCCACTGCATAGTCCTGGTTTCCACTGGTGGCTTTCTTAACTAACGAATAGCATCCACGCGCCATGCTAAGATACGAGCCGACAGCACTATTCTCGACGAGAACGTTTCTTCGCATTGGAGCAAGGGCGACAGAGCCAAATCACATGCATCCCGCCACCAGTAAAAGTAGTTCTCCAATAACGCCTTTATTTTGGACATGAAATATAAAACTTCCTCCGTTATTTCATTTCTGGAGCTATCTTTGTGGAGTTGCCGTTATTGCGTTAAACAGCTGGTTTCGTAAAGTTTCGGTGTCAGTGTCAAGTGTCAGCATCGGTGTCATCGGAGGTGAGCGCCAAGCCATAATCTTTTCCGCGATCGTAAAAAGTTGGGATAGATGTAAATAAAATGAATGAACGAAAGTTAATTGAAAGTTTGATTAAAAAATGAAATAAGTAAAAAACTGAAAAATATCTCATCTAAACGATGATTGAAGCAAGGACATCTGCGTGGCAAGCAGGTGTTAGACCACCGAGCAATGTTGAATCTGTAACTTGCTTTTAGAGCAAAAAAAAAAAAAAACACCACACTATGAATAGTATGAAGTGGAACGAATCGTGTAGTGTCGTGTAGTGTCGTGTAGTGAACGAGTCGTGTAGTGAAAGAGTATAATCGGAACAGGTGGTAAAACACGTGAATTGCGTAAATGATTGGTGTTTTAAAGGCACACTCTATACAAAACGCTCAGACACATTTTATCATCATCATCTTCATAAATATTATCAAAAGGTGAGCAGTTCCACAGGCTCACGTGCTGCCTGATGGCCACGTATTAGGAATTTCGCTGATTTGCAACGACAATCATTAGGGCGTAGTGTGCACTTAGCAACTGTAACTGCAGTTGGCATTTCTAAAGGACCAACGTTACGTGAGAAGTCGTGCGCTTTCTTAAACGGGTACCGTTGAGGCATGCATCCAGAACCGAAGTAGGCTAGTAGTTGAGAAGGGAATGCACGTGGTGGCCAACTGCGCTACTACGTTCTACTATTGAAGCCGAGGCTGCTTTTCAGGTTTCTAGGTGATAACTGTCTACTACTCGATGTGAAAAGTTTCACATTTCTAAAACAAAACCGATCAAATATGAACTATTTGCTAGCTCAGTTGAGTACTGATTCTAAAGAAATCGAATCTGCCATGTAACAGGCTTCATTTTGATTGGATGTACATTCACGGAATGTTTACTCTTTCGCCTATTCACTGGCAAATAATTTTTGAACTGATAGTTATCTTTCCTCGTTTATACGAAAAAAAAAAACGCTCTTCTTTCATCCATGAGTCTTCATAAAAGACAAAGCCTGAGACATTTATGACAGACAGCTTTAGGCGTGGGTTGACGGCTTGCCATTGTTTTGCTTGTGCCATTGAGCTCAGAAAATCATATTACGGATCTCTGTGCCACAAAACAGAACAAAACAGAACAGAACAGGCCTGTATTGCACTTCAAGAGTAGATAACACCATTTATTCTTTAACGCATTCACATGATGTGGCCGCTTCCGGAAGTTTACTCTGCACAGAGAATACACAATCAAGTTCACTGATGAGCCATCTTTTATTCTTTCAAATCGTCACTTATAAAGGGGCCACAGTTGTTCTAGCGCGTACGGCAGTATGGAGCTGTATTATTATTTAACACATCCAGATAACTGTTTCTTCTTTCGGACATACAATCTGCAGAGAGAATGTACTTGCAAGTTCCTGAATGACACATGTTTTGTTCGCATGAAGAGTCACCCACAAAACGGGACCACAGTTGTCTGAACACGAACGGCAAGTATGTGGCTCTAAATTTTTATAGCACTGGCCCGCACTTCCGTTCGATGAGCTTATTGTTGCCTATGAATGTGCACGGGTGGCAACATGACGGGCACATAGAAGAGAAGAAAGAGAGAGTTAGGCATGAGCAGTGGGTTTAAACATGTAGTTTTGGTGTAGGGCTTGGGTTTGTTATTACGCGACATTATGTGGTGGCCAAATCTCCTGGTCACGCCCTTTCAATACTTCTAGTTTCGATGGTGTACTTGAAGTGGCTGCGCAAGAAACGTGGCGTCGTCAGGCCAACGTCACGTGAGCTATCACGCTCCTGACGGGCGAACTGCAGACCACTGTTCCGGATGTCAGTCAGGGGGACTTCCACATTACCTGCCTTACCCAGGAGGACGTCGAACACGTCAACCTTAACATAGAAATATTCGATCTGACTGAGAAGATGCCTGCAAGAAAGAGCTCATGACCACGGAAAAGTATGACCGAAGGGTCGCTAACGGCATGACGCGAGCGTGGTTCTTCCTCGTACAGGCTGCAAGCAAAGCGACGGTGCCGAGTGTGGCCAGGCTAGAGGCTAAATCACCGAACGCGGATATCAGTGGGGCCAGTACCTAAACACATAACGAGGTTAGTGACTCTTGCCTTCGAGTAACAGATATGACTCTCAGTCAAGGAACCAGCTGAGTCATCGCAGAGTGCTCCTGCCGAAGGTACAGATACCGGCGTTTCCCGACGTACTTCGCGATTAGCAGACATTTTGGGTTCATTTCAGTGCAACTATACACCTAAACGAAGAAATTCTGCAGAGTGAGAAGTTAAAGTGCCTGCAGTCGTACTTGAGTGGTTCGGCCAAGAGGGCCATCGAAGGCACCCGACTGACATGTGAGAAGTACAACATCGCTGCCAAGAGTTTGACGGAGCAATTTGGCCGGCACGGCTCGTTCCTTAACGAGCCCGACTTGGCACTGGTGAAGTCTTCAACCGATGTGCAAAACCTTCAGCTGCCATACAAAAAGGTCCAGTTTAGAGTCTCTGCATTGGCTAATTTGAGCGTCTCACGTGACCAGTACGAGATTGTCTTCAACCTCATGTGAATGAAGTGCCTGCCTGTCCACCGCGAGATACCATACAGTGAGAAGGGGAAAGAAGCGTCGTTGGATACGTATGCCGTCGCTACCCGGGAGCAGAGTGCTCGACAGGCTGCAGAAATGCTTCGTTACTGCTCACCCAGATTTAAATCAGAGAGGAAGGCGGGTCAGGACGTACGTCCGCACTCACTGCCAAGTGTTTTACTATTACAGAAGAAGCTTGCCCTCTCGTCACTGCATAACGGAATGTTATATCCAGATTTCAGCAGACGAAAAACGGGCACGTTTGTGCAGGGCTCGATGCCGCTACTGCTGTGGCAGGAGCAACCACGTGTCAAGGTTTTGTAGACGTGCTCGCTTCATTCTGTGCAGCAAGTGCAATATCGACATCTAAGGAAACCCGTATTCCAGCCTGCTGCACCAACTCGCACCAACGCGACAGCCGTGAATGAGGACGAGCCCCCGTATTACCGAGCGAGACACAAGAACGCCTGCAGGGACATCTGCCCCAAGCGCTTTGAGCGGATTTAACGCAGTCGTTCTGCAAACAGGACAAGCATGGGTTCAGTGCGTGTCACGAAGGCGTCTCGTACGCAATCGTCTTGACCGTGGCAGCCAGCGCCCGTTTAGTTTGAGTGGATATTTCAAAGGGTTTGTTATTACGCGACACTTGGAAAAACTGATGACAACATCCATTGTTCAAACCAGCACTGGCTTTGGGGAGCTCAGGAAAACTGATTAGAGACCAATATCGAGCTGTGGGCTAGATAACACCATCCATTGTTTACCACAATCACGTGGTGTTGCTACTTCTTGACGTTTTTTTTTGTCTGCACAGAGATAATAGACATACAAGTTCCGCCTTTTTGTTCTTAGAGACGCCACCCACAAAAGGGACGCCCACAGTTGTTTGAGCGTACGTGACAATATGAAGCTCTACATTCTTATAGCATTCGCTGTCACTGCATTCGGTATGTATGTCAAGAAGTTTTGTTCATGCTTCACATAAAAGATGCATAGTAAAATTTTTGCACATAAGCTCTTTCGGTGTATATTGTCATGGCTACATGATATGGAGCAAACTCGAGTAACGAAAGGCATAGCCGAAACGTATGTTATGCACAAAAGAAGGTTTAAGCATAAACTAGTATCAGTCATACTCATGAGAGAACAACGTAAAAAAACCTCCACACACAAGTCATTTATACTAGCCAATTACTTCAACGAAAGTATTATGAATATTACGACCTTAGTTTGTCACCTACTCTTTACGTCATTTTATATCACCATGTCACTGAATTTACATAATGTGGGGAAACGCTAAAGAACGTATGTGAGACACAAATTAAGTTTTTAAATAGACTATCGTCAATCATAATTGTGACAGAGTACTAGAAAAATCCTACAAGTGCAAGTAATATATCCTAGTTGACGACTTGAAGTAGGCTTTAGGCACCTTAGCACTTAGCTTCGTGCACTCCTCAACATTTATTTCATGAAAATGAGCGTTTTTTTGTTATGCGAAATTTTCGGTAAAACAATGCTGAGATGATGGTGTTCCTAGTAGCACCATAGCAATAAATGCGATGGCCTGTAATTGTACGGCATTCGTATCTAGGTAATACTAAGTAGTCAACACTGACGTGCCGTAGGTTGTTCGTACAACTACCTGTTCAGGTGCTCTTACATTGCTGCTGTATCTGACGCGTCTGCACTGCGTGTGTTCTCACTAATCTGCAGGTGCGGTTTTACAGTTCACAGTAATTTTAGTGTGAATGAAAAGAGTACTACAAATAATGGTTATGCAATAGAAAGGGAGGTTACGTGGTCAGAAGACTGTACAAAAAACATCCTACACAAAATTAGTATTTTGAGCTAGTAAGAGGCAGCGAAATTAAAACAAAGTAGACATTGTGATCAATCTGTTCTTCGTGCTCTAAGACGTAACGACTGTGGTTAAATGACCTTGTTAAAAATTAAAAAGGAAGTATCTCTTTCCTCCACTTCTTCATAAATATACAAACATATTTCGAAGCTAGCGAGAATATTTAAGCTGTTGCACTGACAACGCTCACTCGATCAACTCTTATAAGTATAGTGAACGTGATTGCATATACCTCTGAAAATAATGACGCGGAACGGTGCTTGAACATAGCAGATAATGTCTACTAGCAGACGACTGCGGCCGTAGCTCATTTGGTAAGAGGGACGGGGTGCGTTATTCGAAGACATCATGTTCATTACCTGTCAGCGACAGGTCATCGTTTTGTTGACTTTACTGTCTTCACATCTGTGTTAGTCTTACTACTATACATTAAGAAATTCTCAGTAAAGATACAGTATACATTCTTTGGTTTCATTGCATGCTAACTTACATTAACGGGGCCCTGAAACAAATCATTCAAATAACCATAGAAGGAATTCATGGGAAGAGCATATTGCCTTACAAGTTCAATGCCAAAAGTTTTAAAAACCTGTTCAGTGCCAATGGAGTTAAAGATTTGTTGCATGCGGCAAGTGCATTCTCTCTTCTCTCGTCCCGACGAAAGCACTGGAAGCTAAACAGGGAGGGATGACAGATGCAAAAAAAAATCGCAGCATATCCATGGGGTGAACGATGACGAGTGGGCAAAGATCCGGAGAGAATCATCGGTAAAACCGTGAATTTTCCGTGTGTAATTCGCCCAGTCCATTATCGTGGAAAGACATCATGAGAAACACTGTATGTGTATATATAGAAAGCATCCTTTCTTTGTTCTTAGAGAAGATGGATGGCTTGGGATGTCCCTTCATTATGACGGGTTTATGGTCCATGAAATGAAGGGTGAGCGGTTCTTGTATAGGCCGCGGTGGAAAATTTGCAAATACTAGGTCAATGTATGTTCCTCGGATCGTGGTTGGTTTCATATGGTCATACGATAGACATCCATGCGTCCATTCTTCTGTCCATGCGTCCGTCCATGAATCCATCCATCCGTTTGTCCGTTATTTCGTGCGTCCATCCGTCCGCGCGTCCGTTCGTGTGTCCATCTAGTGAACACTCCAAGTACCGCCATCTCCCATCTCGCATACCCTGTTGCACATACCCGCTCTAGAACGGGTATAGGCCACCGGTGGCTACGCACACCACCAACAACAAACCCTATGGGATGTACAGACCCACGCCCTAAGGAGCTTCGGCACTAAAAAAATACGTCACGCGTGCCTCGTCACCTTGAGCACGTTTTCTTTTTTTTTTCTTAGAATGCACGGCTTTTTCAGTCTGATTGCGCTCGCACGAATAGAAAAATTGTGCCGTCCCGCGGCGATCTCTGTAACGACCAAATGCGCCATGTTCAAATCAGCCAATGGCTGATAGATGGTATTTCAACGAGTGATTTTTGAGTGCCTTCCGTCATCTGTCGAGAGAAGAGAAAGCAATTTTTAGCTGACTTAGATCATTTATTGTGAACTTGAGGTGGCGTGCGGCGCTGTAATGTCTCGCTCGCGCGTTGTCGGGAGCCTCTACTACCGATAGGCAGCGTTTTTTGATCATGCTTAGAAAGTTTTGCAGGGCCCCTTTAAGGCTGCGGTCAAGGAAAGAAGACGCCGAAGTTTCTTTTCTCTACTCGCAACGCATTTTTTTCTTATTTGCTATTTGTTATTATTGATTGATATGTGGGACTGACCGTTCTAAAACCACCATATAATTATGACATACGCCGTTATGGAGGGCTCCGGAAATATTGAACACCTGCGGTTATTTTACGAGCACCCAAATCTGAGCACACGGGCCTACAGCATTTTCGCCTCCATTGAAAATGCCACTGCCACAGCCGGGATTCGATCCCGCGACATGCGGGTCAGCAGCGGAGTACCTTAGCCACCAGACCACCGCGGCTGGGCTATTTGTTAGTATCAGAACAAGAAAGTCCATATAGAGTGAAACGGTTAATGGCAACCAAAATATGCACATAACTTCAGGTACGCGCGTAGCAATCTGATTCACACCATGCAACGTCATGTTACCAATTTCAAACTGAAAAATACTTATTTTACTGAAGACTGGGTCTGCATGCTTGGCTAACTTTGTTAAAACTGCATATTCGAGTAATTAGGTGATTGCAAGTGCGACTTTTTTTTTTCGCAACAACCACCCAGTATGGCCTGACTAGCCTATCTCAGTTTGGCCACGCTACTGGCAGACGGCTGAAATGTGGGAGTTAATTTCTTCCTCCTCGACTAGCTTCTAGATTAGCTAAGGAGGGAAGACGTTTCAGGTCCGGAGTGGGTCCCCTCGATAACTCGAGTGCGCGGTGGCTGCGTGAAGGAAGAGCCGTAGTCCCGTAAAGAGACGCTCGAGTCCAAGCCCGAACCTCCGCTCCTCATTTCAGATTCAAACATACTCTTTTCAACCCTCGGTTGAACAAAGGATCTCCACACAAGCCAATCACACGTGTGGGCTCGCATCACCAAAACCAATCGCGAAAACACTTTCACAACAAGCACTGTATTGGTAAAAACCACGTTACGAAATACAATACGAGAGGGGATAGGTTCTGCGCGTTTCACATTCTCTCCCATGCCAGGCCGTGTATCGGACGATCTCTGTCGGTAGTCGTTCTCTCGCTCGGGCTCCACCATTTTTCTCATGAACGTCACTTTGTAGAAGCTTCCATAAGCGCGGAGATTACACCATCTCGCCCTGTGCACTGAGCAGGTGTTCATGCGACAACGAGGCGCCCCACCATCCTAACAACACTCGGTAATGAGGTATAGCGCGGCAGGATAAGCTCGTGTCCATTCCGCCACTATGTCTCGGTCAGTCCAGTGGTCGCGTCCCCGCGCCATTCTCAACGGCACACGTTCATGCCAACAATGGCTTAAACTCAGACGACGGCGCCTGGCCTTGTTCTTGCCAGACGCTCTTCCGAGTAAGCCTTCCCCTTCTAGTCCCGAACAGGGTGACCTTGACGGCTCCGCTCGTGAACCGTGTGAACGAAAGAGTCTCCTTCATTTCCCGTGCACAGGTCTCCCGCTTTTGCCTTCGCGGAACCGATCAGCTTCATTAGTTGATGGGTCGGGAACTGGCTCCGTGCCCTGCATCAGCCGCATTAATTGCGCTACACACGACCGGTAATTGTCGCCTCATACTAACTGTGGGCATGGAAAATAGTGAATGCAATGCACTTCCTGTTGCTTCAACTTCACCCGTGGAATTCGATTATTGCATGGTGCATAATTTTCCCCTGGCATTATTCAGGAATCTGGACCTATGGTGTTTGGTGTTACTCTGGGATTTATTTGATACGAGCAGCTTTCACGAGAACTTTGTTGCTCTAGTGTCAATATAAGTCTATAGAGTATATCATCTACTATACGAATCATTCTTCGCAGCGGCTTCGGACCTTCCTGAGCAATGCCAACTGCCAGCCCACCCGGGATTCTGCAAAATGTTGTTGCTGAGATGGTGGTACAACGCAGAGAAAGGCCAGTGCGAGGAGTTCTTCTTTGGCGGTTGCTCCGGAAATGCGAATAATTTCGAAACGAAAGAGCTGTGCGAACATACATGCTCCGTACACGCACGTGAGTTGATATTCTTTAACTACTGTGCCCAACTAAGTCTCCAAGAGAGAAGTGTCCGAGGTGTAAATCACCGTATAATGTACTTGAGCTTGGTTATGGACGGGTTTTACCTCAATCTTCCACCATGTATCATATCATGGTGGAAGAAAAAAAACAGAAAAAACATTGTTGATTCCTCCATCATGAAAATGCGGAAACCACGAGGTTAAAACGTGTCCTTACAGAAATACTTACGCTTTATTGTGCATTGATATGAGAGAGCTCGCGCAACGTTTATTGGTGTTTGACAGCTGTAGCACCGTTTAACGTGGATGCATTCACTTTGACGTTTATGCATACATGTTCATCCCGACAGCTACCGTTCATCATTAATGATTCAACAAACCCTTGAGGTCATGGGTACTTGTAGTATGGTGGCTGCATGTGGTAGCTGTAGTAGATAATGGTAAGAGCGAAGTCACAGAAAGCGATGTGACAGCCGGAGAGCGTGAGAGATTGGACGCCGAACTTGGGTTAAGGTCGACTACTTGCGTCATGCACTCTAAGACAAAATTACCCAAAAAAGGAGTAAAGGAGCCCAATAGGCGCGCGCGATGAACGGATAGACCGTTGAGGAGGAACCACAGAGCGAAGCGTGCCGCGTTCAAACCACTTAGTCTCCAAACACGCTCCAAAGGAATGAACCGTCCGGGGAATGCAGGCAGCGCGCAAAGCGTTGCCAAGGTCATTCTCCTCTCCTGGCTCAGTCTTTGCCCGTATTTTGCCGGCGACAGTTCGCGTTGCGTCGCATTCGGAGTGCTCAGTCACGGCCGCCTAGATTCGACTATATAGGAATTACGACGTGGTGTATGTGTGTACACTTGGATCAGCGTGGACTGCTGCTTTTAAGTTTCACTGTACCCATGAAGTTTGGAGCAAGTCTCGACACGTGCACACGTCACGCTGTATATCTTTAGCTTCAAGATAGTCACGACCAACACACGACTGCAACAGTTGGGAAGGCCAACATGGCGGCTGAGACGACAACAGGCCTATTGGATATACACTTCAGTCCGACTCAGGGCAGAAATCGGCACTGGATTCTTTTGCAAGTAGGTTATCATTCTTCATTCTACTCTACTTGTCGCGTGTTCGATACGGATCGCGCTTGCCGGCAATGGGCTCGGTCGTGTTTTATATTGTGTGCACGAATGAAAGGCACCGCGAAGGTTTGCTTGGGTGTCTGCAGTTCGCCTGTGCTTTGCGACCGCCTGGAAATTGGCTGCCATTGCTGTCGGCCACCCGTACGCTCGCTCATCGAGTGCTCGCCTGTCTTCGCCGCCACGATGAACTCCGGGCTGACGATAATAGGCTGAGACGTCGCCGCTGTGTTCGTAGTCGTCGAAAACAGGTTACGGGTTCTCGTAACGAGGTTGGTTGCAGTATATCGCGTGCTGTAAGTGCACCAGCACGTGCTGGTGGGGCTTTCGTTAGCGTCGCAACTCACTGAATATTGGTCGCCATAACAGTTGGCTTTCCCGTCAGTCAGTCGCAAGCAGCTCGGCGCCGTCCGTTGGGCGCGGCGGCGTACTCGCATTTGCGCGCTGCACTCGCTCGAGTTTGTGGAAAAGGGCCACATTACATTCGATATCTTCGGCGCTAGCTCCAAACCAGCTCAGCGCTGTTCATGGCGGCGGCCAAGCGTGCGCTCGCTCTCCTGTTCGAAGTTCACTGGCGGCAGACACTCCGCGTGCAACGCCGTGTTTGGTCTCGCGTCCACTTGCTCGAACTGAACGACGTCGCTCGCTTAGGACTCGCCGACTTGTTACGGCACGGTGGTTCGCGGAGTTGTAGCTGCGGTCGCCGCTCCTAAGCTGTTAAGCTACGGGGATCTAAATGAGTCTGACGGTGCGTGACATCACGGTGAATTTATTAGCATGCCATATCTCACGTATGTTTTTATTTAACCTTGCACGTATTTCTCATATGCACTCGTATTCATCCTCTTTCACGCGTGACTCACTATTTTACATACTTACTGTGCCGCCGTGGGAACATACCGTGCTGAAGGCTGTGTGTGCTGGCGTCTGCGATGCCTGTCAGCCATCTCTTTCGTCAGAGCAGCTTCTGCAGGACTGTGCGAGATGTGAAGAGAAAGTTTTTTGTGTGTAATAATTTACACGCATGTTTTTATATTATAACGTCACTCCAGGAGTGTCGACAAGGTTTATTGACGTCTGAGCAACAGGGCTCTAACCAAGCGTGTCAGTTTGGCTTGTTTTTCAGGGCGGAGGCGGACGCGCACTTCTTTCTCTTTTGTGGTGTGAGCCTTCGCTTTGGCATACGAGCCACTACTAGAAGTAGGTGGCAATTTTCCTCCACAACAAAAAAAAAGAAAGAGCATCGTCCCGATGCTGTAAAGTTATTGAAAAAAAAAACAGAACAAAGTAGGTTAAACAATGAAAAAGGGCACCAATAATAAAATGTTACTCGTGATAAGTTCACCAGTGATGAGGCAATTGTCGGAGCACAAATAAAAAAAAAACACAGGAAAAGTGGCCTTTTAGAAACGCGCAAAATAAGGCTTTATGCGCACCACGTGAACTATGTCAGAGGTCGGTTGTCCTCGCTGTACCCATCGTGAAGACGTAGCGTCCGGAACCACTTCGTAGTTTACGTCACTCACGCGGCGTAATACATTATACGGAACGAAGTATCTGCTGAGCAACTTTTCAGAGAGGCCACGGTGACGATCAGGGGTCCAAACCCAAACTTGGTCTCCCGGACTGTAAGATGCGTCATTGTGACGCATATTGTAACGTCTTGCATCGACCTGTTGCTGCTGACCAATGTGTAGCCGGGCGAGCTGACGAGTTTCCTCGGCACGCTCAGCGAATTCTTCTGCGTGAGTTGTTAATTGATCGGCGTCTTCACAAGGAAGCATCGCATCCAGCATCATCTGAACTTCGCGGCCGTAGAGAAGGTGAAACGGTGTATATCGGGTTGTTTTTTGAACGGCGGTGTTATAAGCGAACGTCACATAAAGCAAAATGCGATCCCATGTTTTGTGTTGGACGTCGATGTACATAGAGATCATGTTTGTGACGGTCTTATTTAGTCGCTTGGTTAAGCCGTTGCTCTGCGGATGGTAGGCAGTCGTCGTTCGATGCCTAGTGTTACTTAGTAAAAAAACTTCATCAAAAGCTGTGCAGTGAACGCTGTTCCTCTGCCGGTTATCACTGTAGATGGAGCACCGGGGCGCAGAACAATGTGGCACACGAAGAACTGTGCTCCCTCAGAAGTCGTGGCTCGTGGTATCGCCTGTGTCTAAGCATAGCGGGTCAAATAGTCAGTTGCAACAATGACCCATTTGTTGCCGTCGGACGATAAAGAAAATGGGCCGAGAATGTCCATGCAAACTTGGTCAAATGGCTTGTGGGGTGGATCGATTGGCTGAAGTAATCCAGCCGGCCTGCTTGGCAGTGACTTTTGACGCTGGCATTCACGACAGCTTTTGATGTACTGCTTCACGCCAGTAGTACGCCTCACTTACTCTGGCGAGCGTTCGCGAGTAAACTAGAGGACCACATGTGGGCTCGTCATGACACGCGGAGAGGACTTCGTCCCGCATGTCCTTCGGAACGACGAGGAAGTAAGCGCGGCTCGTAGAATGGGCGTTTTTTGTACAGGACATTATCTTGGAGGCAGAAAGACGTAACGACGCGAGATAGATGGCGAGGTATAACGGCGCTATGACACTCTAGATAGTCGATGAGCGGTCGAGTCTCTTCATCTTCTCGCTGGCGTCTGCTCAAGTCAGATGAAGTAAGGGCACCCAGGAAACCGTCATCGTCCTCTTCTTCTTGATTGACTAAAGGTATGGGTGCACGCGACAGCGTATCAGCTTCTTCATGCTTTCGTCCTGACTTATATAGGATTTTCACATCAAATTCCTGTAGACGCAAGCTCCATCGGGCCAGTCGTCCAGAGGGATCACGTATGTTTACCAACCAGCAGAGGGCATGGTGGTCCGCCACCACTTTAAATGGACGACCATAGAGGTACAGGGCGAAACTTGGTGATCGCCCACACTAATGCGAGATACTCTTTCTCTGTGGTCGTGTAATTCACCTCGGTACGGGACAGTGAGCGGCTGGCATAGGCTATGACTCGTTCTTTGCCGTGTTGATACTGGACGAGCACTGCCCTGAGGCTGACGTTACTGGCATCAGTGTACACCTCTGTGTCAGCATCATCGTCAGATTGCGCAAGAACAGGGGCTGACTGTATCCGCTGTCGTAGCTCGGCAAGAGCAGCCTGTTGCTCGGTATCCCATACAAACGGTGTGTCGTCGCGTGTAAGGCGAGTCAAGGGTTCCGCTATCTTCAAAAACCCTCTAATAAATCGTTGATAGTAGGCGCACAAGCCCAGAAACCGCCGAACAGCCTTTTTGTCTGTAGGATGCGGAAACGCGGCTACAGTGGCAAGTTTGTCGGGGTCGGGTCGGACTTCTTTCGCGTTGACTACATGGCCAAGGAATTTGAGCTCTTCATAACCAAAGTGACACTTCTGCGGTTTGAGTGTAAGATCTGCTGATTGAATAGCCTGTAGCACACTTCTGAGGCGGTGAAGATGTTGCTGGAAGGTTTCAGAAAAAATGACAACATCATCAAGGTATACGAGACAAGTTTGCCACTTCAGACCAGTAAGCACAGTGTCCATCATTTGCTGGAAGTTTGCGGGCGCTGAGCACAAGCCAAAAGCAAGGACTCGAAATTCATACAGGCCATCTGGGGTCACAAAGGCCGTTTTCTCGTGGTCCCGCTCGTCAACCACAATCTGCCAGTACCCGCTTTGTAAACCCAAAGAGGAAAAATAGTGGGCGCGGCGTAATCTGTCTAACGAGTCATCGATGCATGGCAGCGGGTACACCTCTTTTTCAGTCACGCTGTTCAGCTTCCGGTAATCGACACAAAAACGTAGCATTCCGTCTTTCTTCTTGACTAGAACGACCGGAGAGG